GTTTACTGCTAGGTAGCAGGGACATCAGGGTGAAAGAAACTCTGCCCATTTGTTTCCACCTCCACCAGGGATCGAACCCGGAAACTCAGGACTACGAATCCGAAGCGCTGTCCACTCAACTGTTAGGCCTTTGTCAGGGGGTTGCTCTACAGCTCAAGGATATTCTTCCCCCTTTTTCCATGGTTGAGCATTACTGTTGCAATAGAATCCTTCTTCAGCTATTGTTGCAAGGTCCAAATCTTTGGATTTGGCAGAAGGTACTGTATTTTATTGCATTTTGTGCTTGTTAGTGTTTTGCTGCTTTCAGGGCTACATGGTACAGCCTCTTTGGAATTTCACCCTGTGGTGTGTGTCTTTTTCCCTGTTGGGGTGGGCTCACCAGATAGCATTTGGGGTTTAGTCCTAAATGCGGAAGACTGGGGCCGGTTGGCCAAGCGGACAGCACGCTGGACTTGTGATCCTGTGGTCCCGGGTTCGATCCCGGGCACCGGCGAGAAACAATGGGCAAAGTTTCTTTCATCCTATGCCCCTGTTACCTAGCAGTAAAATAGGTACCTGGGTGTTAGTCAGCTGTCACGGGCTGCTTCCTGGGGGTGGAGGCCTGGTCGAGGACCGGGCCGCAGGGACACTTAAAGCCCCGAAATCATCTCAAGATAACCTCAAGATAACTACATTGCAGTCTCCAAGGAAGATGGATCACATTGCCTCGGGGGTGGAACTATCAGTTGTCTGTCACTCCCTTTCCTGATCTGGAAGTTCTTGTTGTGGGTGCTTTTCACTTGGAGTGGAATCAGTGGGACTTCATTTACCTTTTTTCTCTGTTCCAGCTTCTCATCCATGTTTTTTTTTTTCTGATTGGAGGTTATCTTGAGATGATTTCGGGGCTTTTGGGGTCCCCGCGGCCCGGTCCTCGACCAGGCCTCCACCCCCAGGAAGCAGCCCGTGACAGCTAACTCCCAGGTACCTATTTTACTGCTAGGTAACAGGGGCATAGGATGAAAGAAACTCTGCCCATTGTTTCTCGCCGGCGCCCGGGATCGACTCCGGGACCACAGGATCACAAGTCCAGTGTGCTGTCCGCTCGGACGACCGGCTCCCAGAGACCTTAGTGAGACCTTAGTGAGCTGTGTCATTCTTCTCTAGCCAGTTCATCTCTCGTTCTCGGTCTTTCTTACTCATTGTCCCAGTCATATCTTGTTCCTGGGTCACTGCTTCTTCTAGGCAATCAGCAGCCAGACTTATCTGGATGGTTCATGTATATTCACTAATCAAGGTCAGTCTACAGATTATCATCTGAAGTTTTTGAACAGTTTGTATGACAACCTTTATGTGAATCTGGCGACACCTCATTTTTTGTTTATTTTTTTGTTTACATATATTCTTTCCAGCTTTTCCTTTCTCTGCTGGTTCTTCCATGTTTTTGTGCCAGTACTGCAGCTGACTTTTTCTATCTCGGCTCCTTGTGGAGCACCATTCCATGGCTTTTTATTTTTGTTTACCTCTGGCTGACTCTTGATTCTTGATGACCAAACCACAACTCGGAAGATGGAGATATGGGTGCAGGGGTTTTGCTCCTCATATTTTTGAGGGGCTCCCCCTTTCCTGGGGAGAGGGGAGCTGTGCAGACAGCGGCGCGGCAACGTGTGACGTCTGCTCGTTTGCTTGTTTCTTTTTGGGGAGTTCTATCCACTTGTTCGGCTTTTGGTAGCAATTTTCACCAGAATAGGGGTTTGTTTTGGGACGCTTACTTTTCTGGGTGCCTGACCCGGTTGATGGCAGACATAGAATGCTTCCAACCACACGGGGCTTTCTATAGGCCATTGCTCCCCGTACCTCTTTGAGGGGGCCAGGTTCTGGCTCGTGGTCTCTGGTAGGCCCAGAGAACTCCATACACATGACTGATGCCAAAGTCTGACATTAGCATATTAGCCTAGTAAGCATCGGGGAGCCTCCGGGTCTCGCTCAGAAAATGGCGTTTCATTACATTCAACGCTTTTTTTTTTTTTGGCTATGAACAAGACCTTTGCTGTTCATTGGGGTTCTCTAGCAGTAGATGCATCAGGACAAGAAGGGGGAACTATCAGGAGAGAGCGCCAAGTCATTATGTCGATATAGCATTAAGAAGGGGTCAGGACAAGGATTTGGGATGGGACGGGATGAAGGAATGGTGCCCAACCACTCGGACGGTCGGGAATTAAACGACAACCTGCATGAAGCAAGACCGTCGCTCTACCCTCCAGCCCAAGTGGTTGGGTAAGAGTGCATGATGCCATCTGTTCTGTTGCCACTGTGTGATGTTATTTGCTTGCTACTTGTGCTTCCTAAGCTGTGACTGTTAATTGAGTTTTTCATGCCATGTTTCAAGACCTGGCAAGGAGGGGGTGGTTTGGTTTGGCCTTTCTGAAGTGTATCGTATACATCGACATGCAAGTATGATGCTATGGCCTCTGGCTGATGTTTGGGCTCTGGGGTTCTGGCAGTTCAATGTTTAATGCTCTGTGGAGTTCTACTTCTCAACTCAATCTAATTCTTTATACAGAATAAAAAGACTCAAGTGAAATTCTAACTGAATACTAATTAATCCAAACTAATCTGAAGAATTATATCATTTAGTATACACAGTAGACTCTAGGAAATCTACTACGGCTTAATTTGAATATAAACACTTTAAACGCAAGTGCACATAGCTGAGTATGATAGTGTAGACTCCGTCATGCAGCCCACTGTTGAGAGAGGGGGTTATGGATGGCAGGTATCCTACCACTGCTCTTGCATGCCTGCCGAGAAGCCTCGCATCAACATTTCTAAATTTACATTTAATCACGGGCAGCGAGGCACCAGTTTGTTGCCCTACACCTAAATTAGCCTAAAGAATTTAAGATAATTCTCTGAGAGTAAGATTTAGTTACTGTTCATAAATTGATGATATTTGACGTTATTTCAGAATATTATAGCACATAAATAATGGAGAAATTAATTGTTCAATGACTTATTTTTTGGGTAAAGACCTCACATTATAACCAGGAAGGCAGTTAAGTGACACAATATTATCAATTTGGCATTAAATCAACAAAATAACAGCTGTCACAACTATCTTTGTTAAGTGAAGACCGAAGTGCTGGAGTCAACCTTCTGGTGGTTGACTCAGTCCTCCGTATGCAGCAGAGCTGAGCACAGTACTGTGTGTCTGAAGTTGGGAGCATGTGACATCTTAGCTTGGGGTTGGTGCTTCTAGCAGCACTTAATTATGTCTATATAAGACTTCAGAATTTCCTAGTTGGATTGATATCTCCCTGGAATAACACTTATTGATTGTATGATCAAAAATAAAGCATAAGATTCGTAATTGTGGGGAAAAGCGCTGTAGGTTCCAGTGTTGTGTGGGGCAGCAACAACAGGCGCGAAGTTGGTGATAGAAAATAACGTCTCCAATATACTCATCTGAGAGTTTGAGAGAGTGTTTAATTTAATTATTGATTGATTACTGATGTTCCTATTGATTTTAGTAAATATCTTGGTATTAAGTTAAGGTACAGTTAAGCTATTATTAATATTACTCATTTTGGATCAAATAAAAAAACCTTGTTAGCCGTGTCATGGGATAGGAGGTCGGGCATGCTTGAGCTTGTATGGGTGGTGCTCTGAAGTGCCTAGGGACGAGAGTTTACACTTGATAACTTCCATGTAGACTATTCTTAACTTTATACTGTGGATATTTTCCACATGCTCATTACATGTTGGATGTTTCCTGACCTCTCCACGCCTATACAACTCTTGGGTGCCTTTCCAGTTGCTAAGTTCCTCCTTTCATGAGCCCTAGGTATCTGACCTTCTTACCCCATGGTTCAACCCCAGTTTTTGTCCCTTTATCAATCTATTTCTTTCAGCCCAGAGACGTTATCTCCTCTGAGGCACTGTTAGGAATTTGCTACTGAGGGCTAGAGCAAAAATCAAGAGTTACATATAATGAAACTGCCCTTTCTGGACAGCTTCAGTGAGCTGGGCAGAAAAGGCAAGTATGAGGAGCTTCAGTAGCTCACCATACCTGTCTTATTTTGTCCTTGCCAGTTGAGATCGGATGCATCTTGGGGGGGGCCCTCCATCACTCATATGCCCCATGTGAGTGAAGGAGCAGGCTGGGGCCCGTGTGATATAAATTGCCACTTTTAGTAGGCTTGGCTTTGCCTGTACTCTCTCTCGGGTTCTACTCAGTGTTGGGTCAGTTACTGGTCGTCATGCTTTCCCCTCTCTATAAGTGTGCCAGATTGTGGCCCTGCCATTTAGAAGACTTGCTCAAGCAGAGAGGCCAATAATTTCGTGGAGGTCTGTGGTACAAGATCCAATGAAGTGAGGAGCTGCTTAGGTTGCCTAGAAAAGGGCGTTTCATTACATTTAACACGTTATGCTTTTATATTTCGGAAAGTCATCAAATTGATAAAAAATGTGCAAGATACAAATCGTTCAATTATTAAGAATTAGGTTAAAGTAAAGTAGCTCGTCACAATGTAAATACAAACAATAAACATCGTGACCGTTTCATGCAGTCCAATGTCAAGTCTGAGAACTTTTTTTTTTTTTTTTGTTGATGTTTTTATTGTTGGGTGATGAGTGTGTTGCATGATTCTTGCATTCAGCGCAGATTCTTAGACCATGTTGACTTGAACCTGTGGTGTTACTCTGCAAAATTTTAGTTCTTAAAGCTAAAATTGTATTGAAATTGAGTAATAAACTTAGGTTTCAAGTGAGAAGTCTCTTTAAAACCATAGGATTTCTTTATTGGCTATTGTAAAACTACTCATATTTAAAAAAAAAAAAAAAGTGTATCACTTAATTTTTAACATAGTCTTCCTTTAAGATTATTACACTTGGTACTACAATGCTTGATGGCCTTTATCGTCGTCCGAGAGAAGTCCGAGGCTCGGACTTCTAGCTACCTGTAAGTTTCCGTAGTGCCTAAGTATTCCCGAGTCCAGCCCCCCCCCATGAAGATATTCTTTCAGATTTGGAAACCGATGGGAGTCGAGAGCCAGGCCTGGTAAATATTGAGGGTGAGGAACTGATTGAAAGCCACAAGCATGTACAGCCGCCTATACAATGGCAAGGGTGCATTCTTCTGGTTCAGTGGCGGCAACATTGCTCTATTTACACCATTCCATTCACCTGGAATGGAATGGAACTGTGACGGGGTTTAGACCCATGATCCCCTTTATTTACTTATTAAATGCATTCCTCACTTTTATCAGAAGCTTGGACCTTTGCATTGGTCTTTTCTATTTCACTTGAGCCAGTAACTCCCTGTACATTTCCAGAAGAATAAGGCATCACCCTGCCAGCAGACAGTTTTGCATGAATTTTGCAGGGAAGGTAGAGGCCAGTGGGGCTGCTATATTTTTAATTTTGGTGCCTTGATGATTGATACGTTCATATTACCATCAAATTCCACAAATCTGGTTGCCAGCAAGTTTAAGTACCGTACATGATTAGCAGCTCCATAGAAATCTATACCAGGATGCCTCTTAGAGCCATTATTCAGTATGCTTTTGGTTACTTATCTTGCACTGAATGTGTGGAAAGCCAATTTGATGGCTTTGAAATCATTCTTTTGTTCGTTATTTTCCCCGAGTATGTTTTTAGACGTAAACACTTGATGTTATGAAAGTGTTATACATTTCTTAGCTTTTTTAGAGCAGTATGAAAGAATTCACACACACAAGTAAACCAGAGCGAAGATAAAAAGTATAGCACAGATGAATATAGGGATGATGTGAATTTGATAAGTAATGCTTGAAAGTGAGAATGAAATGGGGGGAGGGACAGTTATATATATAATGGGATGGTTAAGATACCGAGTGAAGAGTAAGTGGGAATGCTAAAATACTGTACAATTGAGTACAGTACTTGCATGAGGTAACTAAATCAAATATTAGTGAAAGCTGTAGTTATTGCTGGAAGTGAAATGTGTTCATTGTACATTATCTAACACTTCACTTTTTATTTACCGATTAGCCTGTCATTTTATCCAGAGCAGACAATGTAAATATTACTTTGGCTTTACCAGTAAACCTACTAATTTCGTTCGTTCGCTTCGTTCTCATGAGTATTTGTTTATTAACCATTCCGATAATGCTTGAATAACTACATGGCTTGGTGATAGTACCATGTGTGTCCAAACCTTAATAATAAACAGTGCGTGGGACGTTGGAGGAAATGTGCATTTTTTGGCAGTGAAATATATTGTTATTCTCAATCTCTAGGATAAAATCTATAGAGATTGAAGATGGGGAACAGATTCACAGACTGAAAAGGAATGTGTAATTATTTAAGTGTAGTTACAGGATGAGAGCTACATTCGTGGTGTGTGTGTTTTCCCAGCACTTTGTCATGTATAACGCTTTGAAATTAGTTTTTGGCCTCTACTACCACCTCACCTAACTTTGTTCCAACTGTCTATTAACACTACCGTTTAGTGTAAAACACTAAATGAGCAGTTCCAAAGTGTGTGTAAAATGAAGTTCACATATAACCCCACAGAGGAGTCCTCGAGATGAAGTGTAGAAATTACTCTAGGAGATAGCCAGAAATAAAGCAGTTGGACCAAATGGAGATTCACCTTGGGTTCTGAGAGAATGTGCACCTGAGCTGAGCTTTCCACTTCAGTTGATATTCCAGACATCTTTGTGTACAGGAATCTTAGCATATACAGGTACAGTATATGGAAAATGACAAAAATAGTTCCAATACAAAAATGGTAGCAGAGAAGACCCTTCTAAATTACAGACCCGTATCATTGACAAGTGTGGTAGTCAAAACACTAGAATATCTGGAAAGAAGTAGCAGACTGTCACTCAAGGACAATATGAAGGATGTTGTATGAGGAACATATGCTACACTTTCCGATTTCAGCAATCCTTTTTAAATATAAATACATGGAGCTGGTCGGCCGAGCGGACAGCACGCTGGACTTGTGATCCTGTGGTCCTGGGTTCGATCCCAGGCGCCGGCGAGAAACACTGGGCAGAGTTTTTCACCCTATGCCCCTGTTACCTAGCAGTAAAATAGGTACCTGGGTGTTAGTCAGCTGTCACGGGCTGCTTCCTGGGGGTGGAGGTCTGGTCGAGGACCGGGCCGCGGGGACACTAAAGCCCCGAAATCATCTCAAGATAGCCTCAAGATGGATTGCGAAATACTAAAGAAAAAGTTCACGACTTTTGAGAGACCCAAATAAGAATATGCAGCAGTTGTATGGGAGGAGGAGCGCAACAAACTGCAAGAGTTGCAACGATGTGCAACAAAATGGCTTCTGGAACTAAGATACGAGCTATGAGGTGAGGCTAAGAGGTGATAAGTATGCCAAAGCTAGAAGATAGAAGAAAGTGGTGATACGATTACTACATACAAAATAGTAGCTGGCATCTACAATATTGATAAAGAAGAATTCTTGAAACCTGGAAACTTCAAGAACAAGAGGTCATAGTTTCAATATGAACTTGAGTCCTGGCTTTGTTGCTGTGGACTCTTCCCTTTCACAGTATATACTCAAATGTTCTAATCTTTCTAACAAATGTGACTTAACATAAGCTTACCCCTTCCATTTATCTTTCGCTTTCCTTTTCTTTCTCTCTTCTCCCCTTTTTCTGTTCATTGTCTTTTCCTACGCTCCCTTGCTATCCTCTTCTTATTCCTATTACTATCTCCTTCAGTGGTTATAATAGGAGATGCCTCGTATGGGCCAACAGGCCTTCTGCAGTTCTCATTATTACTACTATCCCCTACACCTTATTTTCCTCCTCAGCTCTCTCTTGCCTATTTATTGCCTGTCTCTACCTCCTCATCACAATCGACTTGAGAATGGTCCAGGACGGACCGAAACGTCGTCGTCCCTTCACCTTCTAGTGTGTGGTCTGGTCAACATACTTCAGCCACGTTATTGTGACTCATCGCCTGCAAGAGGTCATAGATTTAAAGTACAGTATGGAAACAAGGCTGGCAAAAAACACACTAAAATTCGCTTTTACAGAGTTGTAGATGATTGGAATAAGCAAAGTGGGTGGTGGTGGTGACCAAAACCGTCAGTGTTTCAAAGTGTGACACGACAAAGATTACCAGGAAGGCAACGAGCATAGCTCTCATCTTGTAACTACACTTGGGTAATTTCCAGTCTGGACCAAATAAGCACTATGCCATTCTTAATGTGGGAGATGGGACAAATATAATGCTTATTAATGAGAAGAATGTATAAAAGAAAACTGGAAAAGTTGTAATGTTTAGTATTGCAACTTTTCATTGTGGAGGGGAATGCCTGACGCTCTCATTCTGAGCATTACCTACAGTAACCCCAACATCAATTTACAACATTGTAGTAACTGGTGGCATAGTGGTAACACGCTCGCCACGTGTCTCTTGGACGAGTTGGTCTGGTATCGAGTAATGGCCGAGGAGGGTTGCCCTGGGCCCTAACTGTTTGGCCTTGTTCACCCAGTAATAATTAGGTACAAGTTCACTGTTTGGCCTTGTTCACCCAGTAATAATTGGGTACAAGTTAACTGTTTGGCCTTGTTCACCCAGTAATAATTGGGTACAAGTTAACTGTTTGGCCTTGTTCACCCAGTAATAATTGGGTACAAGTTAACTGTTCGGCCTTGATCACCCAGTAATAATTGGGTACAAGTTAACTGTTTGGCCTTGTTCACCCAGTAATAATTGGGTACAAGTTAACTGTTCGGCCTTGATCACCCAGTAATAATTGGGTACAAGTTAACTGTTTGGCCTTGTTCACCCAGTAATAATTGGGTACAAGTAAACTGATTGACAGGTTGTGTTCCAGGGAAAACTAGTGGGTAAGGCTTACCATGAACTATGGGATGGAAAAGCTCTAATAATGGTAACAGGAGAGGGAAAGTTTTCTGCTCCTGTACCCATCTGTGTTTAAAAAAAGAAAATGGCCCAGTACTGTTAGTGTATGCGGCTTTTTCTGCAAGTGGCCCAGTACTGTCCTGTTGACATCAGAAGTGTTAAAAATAATGTGAACGTGTTCCTATTTTACTAACACAGTTGTGTACCTTCGGTAAATCAAGAATTTCCGTGCATTTTTCTTCAAAATCGTTTATTTTGAATTAAAAATGACAGACAGCGAGAATAGTCTGACAAGACCAGGTACTGTAGTAGAAAAATAGGAGGTATGTAGACGATGAATCACAAAAACATGGATGAAGATATGATGACCAAACAACACACCAGAAGATGAGACGACGACATTTCTGTCCGTCCTGGACCACTATCAAGTCGTAGAGCGGACAGCACACTGGACTTGTGATCCTGTGGTCCCGGGTTCGATCCCGGGTGCCGACGAGAAACAATGGGCAGAGTTTCTTTCACCATATGCCCCTGTTACCTAGCAGTAAAATAGGTACCTGGGTGTTAGTCAGCTGTCACGGGCTGCTTCCTGGGGGTGGAGGCCTAGTCGAGGACCGGGCCGCGGGGACACTAAATGCCCCGAAATCATCTCAAGATAACCTCAAGATGTGTGTGGAATACACACATGCGACTTAATGTGGCTCTAGGGTGGACCAGAACGTCGTCGTTTCTTCATCTTCAGTTATGTGGCTTGGTCGTCAAGAGGAGGTATATTAACATGGTGAGAAGGCTAACTTGATGTAGGAAAAGTAATCAAGACTGGGCAACGAGGAGTGTTGTGTTGGTACTAGTGCATTGTTTGAGAGAAAAGGAAGTTGAGAATTTTGTATGTACTGTATTGGAAAGTTTGTGTACAGTGGTAGAGAATCTGAGAGAAAAATTGACAGTAGCATCAATTTCAATGTGTTAGATGAAGCCACTTATAAAGATAAATCTGGCTTTTAACCAAAAAAGTACAGATTTGTTTTACATATATTTTGAGTTTCTCCTTATGGACGCTTATATAGTTTCATAAAATTTTTGAGAAAGAAAATTCAAAATTTCTGAAATACTAGTATAATTGCAAAGCATTTGAAAGTTCTGAATGGGTCAGTAACCAATTTTGTGTGTGTTTTTGAGGTTGCACTGTGCAGAATACATATGAATACAAAACCCGGTGGCCGAGCGGACAGCACGCTGGACTTGTGATCCTGTGGTCCTGGGTTCGATCCCAGGCGCCGGCGAGAAACATTGGGCAGAGTTTCTTTCTTTTCTTTGGGAGCCGGTCGGCCGAGCGGACAGCACGCGGGACTTGTGATCCTGTGGTCCTGGGTTCGATCCTAGGCGCCGGCGAGAAACATTGGGCAGAGTTTCTTTCACCCTATGCCCCTGTTACCTAGCAGTAAAATAGGTACCTGGGTGTTAGTCAGCTGTCACGGGCTGCTTCCTGGGGGTGGAGGCCTGGTCGAGGACCGGGCCGCGGGGACACTAAAGCCCCGAAATCATCTCAAGAATCATCTCAAGAAAAGGTAAGAACGTGAAAACTGCTCATATGACACCACCTCATTACCGAACAGGCATACACACACACACAAACGATCGTGCACCTTTGGTGAGGGTGGTGGGTTATGGTGATTAGTGAACGCTACATGCTCTGCTTGCTGCCTAATTGAGCCAAGATTCAATCCAAAATTTTGGCAAGAGTATTTGCTGTATTTCTCTCGGGCACTCATATTATTGTACCCAGGCACTGTAAACCATGACCTGTCGGTAGTGAAGATGATATACAATTAGAAAAGGTGTTAATTATATACACATTTGTACTGGGATGTTTATGCACTTAAGGTCTGCACAAATGGTGGGTTTCAAGTACTTATACTAAGTATAATTATAAATTACAGAGTCTTGGTTAAGAGTGAAAAATTGTACCTGCCATCTATTAAAGCTTGAGGTTTACTGGGCATGGCTGAAGGTTGTGTAAATAAAATTCTTAGGGAGCAAAGCTTTCCAGATGAATGAGTTTTTAATTCTGTAGCACAATACATAATTTTCTAAGTATGAAGTCATTGATAATTCATGGATTCTGATTGATTGATTGATGAAGATTAAGCCACCCAAGAGGTGGCACGGGCATGAATAGCCCGTAAGTGGTGGCCCTTTCGAGCCATTACCAGTATCAAAAGATGATACTGGAGATCTGTGGAGGCGCAACTGCACCCTGCGTGACGGGCGATGTCTCCCGGACCAAGTGGTGACCAAATGGTGTCATGGATTCTATTTGATTAGTTTTGCCTTCCACTGGTTGTTTTGGGGCATAGCATGGCTGTGAGGAAGATGTTGATCATTCCTGTTGTCAGACCTCTTGAGGGTTTAAGCCAAGTGTTTATAAATGCCTCTAAATGCCCCATTTCTTCTGTCTTAGTAACTCGTGCATTTCATCTTTGGGACTAGTCTGGTAGCATACCCCCACAACTTCAACTTTTATGCTTAATGAGATATGATTGTTTAGATTTCAAATGGCAGTTCTTATATTGGCCTCCCTTCCATATGCAGCTGATATTTGTTTGATGTGGGACTTAATGTGATGTGGGGGTTAGGTGTAATATCAACCCCCCAAATATTTTTCTCTCAGTATACACTGAAATCACAATATGATATATCAAATGAACAAATCCTCAAGGGCCATCATGAGGGCTTGAACCTACGCACAGGATGTTCCCGTGCTATCCCGTACACAGGATGTTGACTAAAGTGCAGCTGGGAAGGGGTGCCATAGGCACAATCAGAGAACACTGTTTAAACATCAGAGGTCCATGGTTGTTCAACATCCTCCCAGCGAGCATAAGAAATATTGCAGGAACAACCGTGGACATCTTCAAGAGAAAACTAGATAGTTTTCTTCAAGGAGTGCCGGACCAACCAGGCTGTGGTGGATATGCAGGTCGTTCCAAGCAACATCCTGGTTGACTAAACTCTCACAAGTCAAGCCTGGCCTCGGGCCGGTTTTGGGGAGTAGAACTACTCCCAGAACCCCATCAAGCAGGGAACATCCTCTGGGTAGGTTCGAATCCTCATCACAGGCCTTGTGAATTTGTTCATTTTTCTCTCAAATTCTAGTAGGGTTTCTCTCCCATGTGCTACCTTATGCCTGGCCTGCTGTTCCAGCACCCAGCTTCATCACTTTGCACTTGCTTGAGTTAAACTCTAGTAGCCCATGGAGGAATCATTCTTTCATATTGTTAAGGTCATTCTGAAATTTTTGTGTGTGTGTGTATGTGTAAGTATATTTGGGAAGCATTCATTCTGGCAAGCATGTGTTACTGAACATGATGAGTATTAGTTCATTGATTCTAACTTGAATTTTCTTTGTTAGTTTCTTTATTGTCTTTCTTTCCAGGTAAAGTTTCTAAAATTTTATTATATACTTTTAGGGCTTGACACATTGCTAAAGAACACATTTCGCTAAAACACATGCTAAAAATACATTTCTTCGCATGTGTTTTTTTGTTCTTGCTAAAGAACACATTTCGCTAAAACACATCATTTTCAGAAGCAAGGGGAAAAAGAATAGAGATGGACAATGGCAGCAGTGTATTTTGTATTTGATAACCACCTCATAGCATGATAACCACCTCATAGCATGATAACCACCTCACACCTCTAGTGTGAAGTAATTATCATGTTAAGGAGACGGGATAAATTTGCCCTTCACTTTCATTGGCCAGCTTTGGCTGGACGGTAGAGTGATGGTCTCGCTTCATGCAGGTCGGCGTTCAATCCCTGAATGTCCAAGTAGTTGGGCACTATTCCTTTCCCTTCCTCCCATCCCAAATCCTTATTCTGATCCCTTCTAAGTGCTATATAGTCATAGTAATTTCTTGTAATAATTCCTTTCATTGGCCAGCTTGGGCTAGTATGTGTGTGGTGTAAACCGGTAGTTCTGGTTTGGTCTTACAGATATTAGGATACCTAAGTGTAGCTGGTTGTTCGTAGTTGGACGAGTGCTTAATACAAAGTATTTCAACAGTGTCTAATCTTCTATTGTCACTGTATCTGTCGATCACTACTGTGCTGCAAGTCAAGATTTTGGAGATGATCCAACTGGTCCTCTTACAAAGAACGTGGCTTTTCGATCATATGTGTTTTCGACATGTGATCATATGTGTCATACGTCTTGTAAAAAATGCTCGCTAGAAAATGGAAACAACTCACGAAAGTTACGTACTGTCCTGTTTTTCGTTTTGGGTCCTCCGGTAGGTTAATAAAGGTTCTTGTTTGGTAATTGGATTGTATGGAAAACGAATGGGTTAGGAATGAAATTTTTTAGTCATGTTTTTGCTTTAGCTTATGAAATTACTGTTTTGCTAGTTTTACTAAAAATATTATTTTTTTTAATTAACAACTGCATATGGAAATTAATAAGAGGTGGTGGCTAATTGGCTAAATGTCTGGGCCTCTTGAGTACACCCCGGTGAATGTCTGGGCCTCTTGAGTACACCCCGGTGAATGTCTGGGCCTCTTGAGTACACCCCGGTGAATGTCTGGGCCTCTTGAGTACACCCCGGTGAATGTCTGGGCCTCTTGAGTACACCCCGGTGAATGTCTGGGCCTCTTGAGTACACCCCGGTGAATGTCTGGGCCTCTTGAGTACACCCCGGTGAATGTCTGGGCCTCTTGAGTACACCCCGGTGAATGTCTGGGCCTCTTGAGTACACCCCGGTGAATGTCTGGGCCTCTTGAGTACACCCCGGTGATTGTCTGGGCCTCTTGAGTACACCCCGGTGAATGTCTGGGCCTCTTGAGTACACCCCGGTGAATGTCTGGGCCTCTTGAGTACACCCCGGTGAATGTCTGGGCCTCTTGAGTACACCCCGGTGAATGTCTGGGCCTCTTGAGTACACCCCGGTGAATGTCTGGGCCTCTTGAGTACACCCCGGTGAATGTCTGGGCCTCTTGAGTACACCCCGGTGAATGTCTGGGCCTCTTGAGTACACCCCGGTGAATGTCTGGGCCTCTTGAGTACACCCCGGTGAATGTCTGGGCCTCTTGAGTACACCCCGGTGAATGTCTGGGCCTCTTGAGTACACCCCGGTGAATGTCTGGGCCTCTTGAGTACACCCCGGTGAATGTCTGGGCCTCTTGAGTACACCCCGTGAATGTCTGGGCCTCTTGAGTACACCCCGGTGAATGTCTGGGCCTCTTGAGTACACCCCGGTGAATGTCTGGGCCTCTTGAGTACACCCCGGTGAATGTCTGGGCCTCTTGAGTACACCCCGGTGAATGTCTGGGCCTCTTGAGTACACCCCGGTGAATGTCTGGGCCTCTTGAGTACACCCCGGTGAATGTCTGGGCCTCTTGAGTACACCCCGGTGAATGTCTGGGCCTCTTGAGTACACCCCGGTGAATGTCTGGGCCTCTTGAGTACACCCCGGTGAATGTCTGGGCCTCTTGAGTACACCCCGGTGAATGTCTGGGCCTCTTGAGTACACCCCGGTGAATGTCTGGGCCTCTTGAGTACACCCCGGTGAATGTCTGGGCCTCTTGAGTACACCCCGGTGAATGTCTGGGCCTCTTGAGTACACCCCGGTGAATGTCTGGGCCTCTTGAGTACACCCCGGTGAATGTCTGGGCCTCTTGAGTACACCCCGGTGAATGTCTGGGCCTCTTGAGTACACCCCGGTGAATGTCTGGGGCCTCTTGAGTACACCCCGGTGAATGTCTGGGCCTCTTGAGTACACCCTGGTGATGTGTCATGATTTAAGAGCACTGGTGGTGGTCCTTTTTATTGTACATTGTTCAATGTCATGTGCAGTAAATGGTTCTGGTATTACCTAAACTATTCTTGTTTTAAGACCAGTTTTATGCAACGTGTTTTGTTGCTAATTAGGATCTTTAGAAATTGTATTGCACTGATCTCTCTCTCTTTTCATGCACTTCATTTTAACTTTTGCACATTAAAGCCACTTTTATGCTCATAACTTTTATATGCCTGAAGATGCTACCCTTTTTATGTTGCTAGTGCTATAATACACACTTGTAGTAATGTGTTTGTGAAGGTTTCTAAATTACTCTCCAAACTGTTTAGGGTTTATTATTTCCAATGAAATAATTATCTTTGTATTTGTGTGTGTGTGTGTGTGTGTGTGTGTGTGTGTGTGTGTGTGTGTGTGTGTGTGTGTGTGTGTGTGTGTGTGTGTGTCTTGTTAACATTTTGCCATAAGTTTTATTTAACTCTTGGGCCACTAAGAATTATAATGGCTTCAACACCCACAGGTGCAACAACAAAAAAATTCCAACAAATTCTTTTGTCTTATAAAAGTGTTCATTTGTGTTCCCTGATCACGGAAAAAAAAAATTGTAGGTGGCATATTTTGGCCACAATCGGGTGTGGAAGTGAGGCAAAAAAGAGGTGTTGACAGAGCAGTCACCAGACAAGGTCTGTTCCGCCCGAGCTGTCAGGCGGCCTTTGCCACAAAGATGTTATTACGTACCTAATTATTTCAATGTCTCTAATTTTTTCTTTTTTTTTTTTTGCAGTAATATTATTCAATAGTGTGTATTGTGGTATATTTATATAATAATGTGTGAACCATCGCTGTACTCAAAATTATGGTGTGCATATTAGTGATTTAATTACCATGTTCATAAAACAATAAACAAATAGTTTTGCTGTTATTACACTATATACGCAGGTTATATATAAGTATCTGCATGTTTTGCTCACCATAACGAACCACTAAGTTGGTATTGTGAGTCAAAAAGTGAGGAGTGACCGCCACATACCAGCCAGCCACTCGCTGCCACTCACTCCCTCCCTCAACAGCACCTCACTCGCCCACATTCTCCTCCCCGATATTGTTTTTGCATTTATTGACTATACACAGGAGTTATATATAAGTATTTACATGTTTTGTTCACCATAACTGTACATCTAAGCTTGTGTGGTGAGTAAAGGCAATAAGACGTAGCTACTCTCACAGTCAGCTGGTGGTGGTCGCCCTCAAGGCCAGACTCACTAATATTTCTCCTCCAACAATATTGTTTGTGGTGTTATTACACTATATACACACATTATATATGAGTATCTACCTGTTTTATTCACCATACCTGTACAAATAAGCTGGTATGGTGCCCAAAGACCATAGTGGCCACCAGTAAACATGACAAGTCGTGCAGACGACGCACCTCCCTCACCAAAATGGCAGCTCCCAAGCTACTCCTATTGCTGTTATTACACTCTATACACACGTTATATATAAGTATCTACATTTGTGTTCACCATAGCGAACCACTAAGCTGGTATGGTGAGTGCAGTCAATAAAAGGTGGCCACACAGTCAGAAGATGACGTCACCTCCCTCCCTCCCACAGTATTACTCCTCTCTCCATGGAGCACAGTGCTAAATATCACCACAATCCTGCTATTATCAGAATCCTGGTCAGTTTAATCACAGTCAGGGGTCTTCTGTAATATTATCATTAATAAATAATAGCATGAATACATATATTTTGACATTTTTAGGCGATGCTGTAGTCACAAGCTGAACAGCAGTGCTGTGCGCTCATGGTGCGTGTGTCAGCCTTGGTGGCTCGCTCAATACTGTAGCCCTCACACCCAGGAATATTGGCCACGATTTTTTTTTCTAGGTGGCGTCTGTCAACTATCGGTCGTGGCTGCACTATAGCTGCCCCTATCCCATGCGGAGCGTTTAAATTAAGGCACTAGACACTAAAACAGCTGTTAATGTATTGTGTGGTTCCGGTTTTGTTTCTCAAATCAACATGTGTTGCACGGCCTAAGGGTTAAACAAGGATTTGTTTGTATTTTTTTTCTAATAAAGTACATCTGCTTCATTTCTTCCAGTCATTCTTTAATTGGCAGTGCAGCATCTTAATAATGGTCTCTATTTTATTGTAGGCTTCCTTGCTGTAAAGTGCCTTGCTCAGTGCTTTATTTTGATTCCAATTTTTTATTTTTTTTTTTATTAAGAATATGCCATGATGTGCTGGCTTGTGCATCAGTTAGGATAATGACCACTTTGTTTTTGTTTTTTCAGACGGGCGTAGAGATATTTATTCACTGTACTGTAATGCATCTTTTAATGTGTATGGGAGGAATAATATGTTTGAGGATATATCTAAATAGGTTGTACTTGTGCAAGCAGTGTGAAAGTATTTCGAAGAAAACTGGCAAGGTAGTGAATGGGTTGTTGAGACTTGGACGAGTCTTCCGAAGTGTATCCTAGAAAACATTTTTATAATGTACAGTGGAGAAATTTAATTTTTGTTACAATTTGTGAATAAAATCTAGTCTCAAGTGTGATTAAAGTATTGATAAAGAAATAAACGTAAAATAGTGGAGAATGAGGACGTTAGCATGTTTTCTTAGCCTGAATGTTAGGAGGCGCTACTCGAAATGCACGCGTTGTGAGCGAGCGTGTTTCCCGTGACTTTCTAGTTAATAATTCTCGTGCTTGCACTCACTGGTATGTAAGAATGCCTACTAGAGCCATGAAGTCTTGTATATTGATTTCATTGCCGTGGAACTTTGTGAACTGCTCATGCATGGGTTAAATGGATTAAAGTACAGTACTGTACAAGGCAAGGAAAAAGTAGTACTGTAATGCCATCTCTCTTCCCTCGTTGACCCGAGATGCATACTGCCCAATTTTGTGATGCATCCTAATACAGTCCTTATGTTCTCTCTCTCTCACCCCCCTTCCCCTTTTTATTCTTATTCTCTTGTATCAATGCTTTCCCACTCATTTCTCCTTCCCCCCCATTCTCTCCACTCATTTCCCCCTCTCCCTCCTCCCTGCTCATTCCCGCCCCTCCCTGCTCATTCCCGCCCCTCCCTGCTCATTCCCGCCCCTCCCTGCTCATCCCCGCCCCTCCCTGCTCATCCCCGCCCCTCCCTGCTCATCCCCGCCCCTCCCTGCTCATCCTCCCTGCTCATCCCCCCTCCTCCCTGCTCATCCCCCCTCCTCCCTGCTCATCCCCCCTCCTCCCTGCTCATCCCCCCTCCTCCCTGCTCATCCCCCCTCCTCCCTGCTTATCCCCCCTCCTCCCTGCTCATCCCCCCTCCTCCCTGCTCATCCCCCTCCTCCCTGCTCATCCCCCCTCCTCCCTACTCATTCCCCCTCCTCCCTGCTCATCCCCCCTCCTCCCTGCTCATCCCCCCTCCTCCCTACTCATTCCCCCTCCTCCCTGCTCATCCCCCCTCCTCCCTGCTCATCCCCCCTCCTCCCTGCTCATCCCCCCTCCTCCCTGCTCATCCCCCCTCCTCCCTGCTCATCCCCCCCCTCCCTGCTCATCCCCCTCCTCCCTGCTCATCCCCCTCCTCCCTGCTCATCCTCCCCTCCCTCTCTGTTCATTCTCTCCCCCCTTCCTCCCTGCTCATTCTCCCCTCCCTGCTCATTCTCCCCCCCCTGCTCATTCTCCCCCCCCCCTGCTCATTCTCCCCCCTCACCATCCCTCCCCCCCTCACCATCCCTCCCCTGCTCATTCCCTCCCCCCCCCCTTTCCTCTTCCCACTCAGAAGTAATACAAAAGCTTTGCTTGCCTATTTCTGTACAATATATAATGCACAAAACAGGAGAAGCAGCAGCCTCGAGAATTCAGAAAAGACGTGCAGAGGATTTTTGTACGCGTTTTATTTTTGCATTGGTGGGTCGTGCTTTTATGACGCATGCTGGCGCATAGGAACACGGGTATCATAGAACGTGAATGGTGAATGGTAGTTTACAGTGCAATAGATTATCGTGGTTGGATTATATTTAAATGCTTATTAGTTTCAGAGATGATTTGAATTTATCTAATATTAAACAAAATATTCATTACATGCCCATATCCATTATTAAAATCAACTTTTGATCTAATTGTATAACTGACTACTTCCTAGGTTTGTGGACATTTATTAATTGTATTTTATTTTACACATGCTCTCAGAGGAGATAGGTGTGTGTGAAGAAATAAGAGGTAAGCGTCAGGTCACAGGAGAACCTTCAAAAATCTCTAATTTGTCTTATTTGTATCTTAATATGTATTGGTTTCTCTGTCCGCCAGTGTACTCATGTGTCCTTGGGTTCTTCATGAGTATAGGGGCTTGTAGTATAGGAGGTCTTTGTGTTTGCTAATGTGTTGTACAGTTATTGCTTGGGCCAGTTGAGAAAGAAAAGCTTTGTGGTTAGTAGGTGTCTCGTAAGAAGATAGTTGTTGTATCAACTCTCTCACTAATTTGATTTTTGAATAATAACTTTTGTAAACTTTGTCAAATAATAATTTTTCTTATTTGCATTGACATGTTTCTAATTTACGTTTATACAAAAATTGATTACCATTTTGGGTGATAGCTGAATATAAAAGATATTGAATTGATCAGCTTTGTCAACAATGGTGATTCAATGTTTTGTTTATTTTGCCGTTTGGTTTTCTTAATCCTCCTCCTGCAGCATTCATTGGGGCCTACTTATCATGTGTGGCTTTTTGGACGCAAACTCAATAATTCAAGCTTATGAATTTATTCGGAAAATGTAAGGGTATAGTAACAGAAGGTCGAAATTGTACATATTTTGACTGATATGGGGTCCGTAAGTAAGTTCGCGAGTGACGTCATCATTTCCTGGTCGCCCGGGGCAGGATGCGCGAGTTGCCGTGAATATATATATTTTTTATTTTTTGTGCACAGTTCAAAATACATTTTGTTTTTTCGTGCCATTCCTATGTATAATGAACATGTACACTGTATTATGGTAGTAGAACATCCGTACTGTCCGAAGACACTGTGTTACGTGCATGACACATATGTACACACATGTTGCACATATTTCCCATGCATCATACTAATTTATGTATATATACAATCTATTTACACACTATCACACACTATATACATTCACCATCAACACATTCAGATCTTCGTAAGTATCAGCTGCCACACCCTCACTCCAACATCTTACTTGCCAACATTGCTCCTCCCACCATACTGTTATTGTTTTTATTACACTATTTACACATGTTATATATACCTATCTACATGTTTTATTCACCAGAACTCTGCAAGTAAGCCGGTATTGTGTCCAAACTTTACAGTGGCCACCATACACTGCATGAAAAATCACACAGCAGCCAGCAGACGACGCTACGATTACATCACCGCCTTCACCAAAATAGCTCCTCCCAACATACTCCTGGTGCTGTTGTTATACTATATACACACATTGTATATACCCATGTACAAATGTGTTCATAGCGAACCACTAAGCTAGTGTGGTGAGCAAAACAAGAGTGGCTGTGCCACCCCCCCCCTCCCCATCCCCTACACACACACACACACACACACACACACACACACACACACACACACACACACACACACACACGGATGGAGGTGAAGCTGGAGGATGGAGGTGAAGCTGGAGGAGGCAGAAGTCACACTGCAGCAAGCTCCTGGAAATATCGAATTACCTAAGTATTGGGAACAGGTTGAGGGCTACAGTGGTGTCCCAGGTTACATAAAGGTTCAGGGAAGAGTAAAAGCAAATAAAATACAATAAACAAGTAAACTGAGTGAAAATAGTCGAGTGGAAAAGTTTGTTTTGGTCTAGAACAAAATCAAAGATGGCCGCCGCCACCACCCCCACTGAGAAGGTAGACACACCATCAGATGATGGTTTCAAAGGATTCTCAACACAAGATATAAGGAAAGGAGGTGTTCTTGGCAGGTTAGAGATAATTGAGGACATGCAAATGAAGTATGAAGAAAAAGTGCTTAAATTAGAAGAGGACAATGGAGCTCTTTGGAGTGAGCTTTGCACTCTAAAAGGGAGTATGCTGCAACAGGGTAAGATTATTACTGCATTAACAGACAAGGTAACAAATCAGGAGGAGCAAATCAAGGAACTAGTGAAAGAAAATGAGGCATGGAAAGTGAAGTGTGGTGACTTTGAAGAAATAAACAAGAAGATAGACTCATATGGTGAACAACTCCAAGCAAGCCTAAGGGCTAACATAGAGTTAGGTAAGGATCTCCAACTGGAAACTTCACTGACAACTCACATAGAGGAGGTGAATAAAGAACTAGAAAAGTATAAAGAAGAAATAAAAGCGACATATGCTCAAGTTGTAAAAGAGAAAGAGACTATCAAAGAAGTGTGTTCGGAAGTCAAAAGCAGAAATGGCCAACAAGAAGCAGAAATTAGGCAAGCAATTAGGAAAGAACTGGTTACCAACAGTAAACTGGTACAAAACACTGCAGATAGAACTAAGTCCATAATCATTTTTGGATGTTTAGAGAAGGAAATTTCATCTAGGGTGGACCGAGCGGCAGAAGAGATGAAAATCATAGAGAAAATAGTAGGTTTAGGAGAAGGCTCAAAGGAAAATGTCAGTGATTTTAGAAGAATAGGAAAATATGAGAAAGAAAAGAACCGCCCCTTAAGGGTGACCTTTAATGGAGTGAAAAACATGATGGAAGTGCTAAGAAATGCCAGGAAACTGCAGAGTGATGAGGTTGGCAAATCTTGGTCAATAAGACAAGACCTCTCCAAGGAAGACAGAGAAAAGCTGAAAATGAACTTAATTGAGGCAAAACGGCTAAATGGGGATAGAAATGAAGAAGACAGAAATTCTTTTTTTTACAAAGTGACAGGGACTGGAAAGCTTGTGAAATGGTACATAAAAACAAAGCAACAAGATCAGTAGTGGAAGGGGGAGTAAAGAGCAAAGGAAAAGGGAACATGTTCCTGAAAATTGTATATACCAACATAGATGGAGTGAGGTCAAAAACTTTGGAGTTGCAAGATATAATCCAGCTTAGGGTCCCAGATATTGTTGCATTATCAGAAACGAAACTTGAAGGAAATATAATAAATGAAGTCATATTCCCAAGAGGCTACTCAGTTTGGAGACGTGACAGGAAAACTAGGAAGGGAGGAGGAGTGGCTGTACTGGTGAAAAAACACCTGAAGGTAAAAGAGTTAATATTTGAAAACCCTCGAGATATTGACATAATGGCATTGCAGGTCTGGAATCAGGATGATAACCTGATAATTGTAAATACCTACAGCCCACCAGCAAGCAACACGTGGACAAAGGAAGAACTGGATGACAAACGAGAGGGCCTCATAATGGTCATGAGAGATATTATTGTACAAGCAGATAAAGATAAATCACGACTGTTGATACTGGGGGACTTCAACTTTAGAGCAATAGACTGGGAGGCCTATGAAGCAAGAACGGAGGACTTTTGGACATGCAGATTTGTGAACCTCATTCTGGAGACATTCTTGTATCAACACATAAAGCAAGCCACAAGAATGAGGGAAGGAGATATACCGTCAGTACTGGATCTAGTATTCACCAGGAAAGAAGAAGAGATTTTTGACATCCAGTACCTTCCTCCCTTGGGAAAGAGTGATCACGTCCTGTTAGACATTAAATATGCTTTAAGATATCATCTAGAAGAAAATGGGGACATTGAAACAGTTGATAAACTCGATTTAAAGAGAGGCAACTATGGGGAACTTCGAAATTTTTTTAATGAGTGTAATTGGACAGAATTGTTGCTAGGCAGGGAAGTAAATGAAATGTATGCCAAATTTTTAAAACTATACGAGGAAGGCACACAAACATTCATACCAAAACAGAGATGCAGGACCAGAAAACAGGATTGGTTCGACAGAAATTGTGAGAGGGCAAGAGACCAAAAGACACAAAAATGGAATCAGTATAGGAAGAGGCCAAACCCCCAAACATACCAGCGATACAAAGATGCGAGAAACAATTATACAGCAGTAAGGAGAGAGGCAGAAAGAAATTTTGAAAAAGGGATAGCAGATAAATGTAAAACAGAACCGGGCCTATTCTACAAATTCATAAACAACAAATTGCAGGTAAAGGATAATATCCAGAGGTTGAAAATGGGAAACAGATTCACGGAAAATGAAAAGGAAATGTGTGAAACATTAAATGAAAAGTTCCAAAGTGTGTTTGTACAAAATGAAATCTTCAGAGAACCAGACACAATAAGAATTCCAGAGAACAACATAGAGCGGATAGAGGTGTCTAGAGATGAAGTGGAAAATATGCTAAAGGAGCTCGGGAGGAACAAAGCAGCTGGCCCAGATGGCGTTTCACCATGGGTTCTGAGAGAATGTGCATCTGAGCTCAGCATTCCACTTCACCTGATCTTTCAGGCATCCCTGTGTACAGGAATCGTAGCAGACGTGTGGAAACAGGCTAACATAGTTCCAATCTACAAAAGTGGCAGCAGGGAAGACCCCCTCAATTATAGACCTGTATCATTGACAAGTGTAATAGTGAAAGTATTGGAAAAGCTAATCAAAACTAAATGGGTAGAACACCTGGAGAGAAATGATATAATATCAGACAGACAGTATGGTTTTCGATCAGGAAGATCCTGTGTATCGAATTTACTCAGTTTCTATGATCGGGCCACAGAGATATTACAGGAAAGAGATGGCTGGGTTGACTGCATCTATCTGGACCTAAAAAAGGCTTTCGACAGAGTTCCACATAAGAGGTTGTTCTGGAAACTGGAAAATATTGGAGGGGTGACAGGTAAGCTTCTATCATGGATGAAAAATTTTCTGACTGATAGAAAAATGAGGGCAGTAATCAGAGGCAATGTATCGGAATGGAGAAATGTCACAAGTGGAGTACCACAGGGTTCAGTTCTTGCACCAGTGATGTTTATTGTGTACATAAATGATCTACCAGTTGGTATACAGAATTATATGAACATGTTTGCTGATGATGCTAAGATAATAGGAAGGATAAGAAATTTAGATGATTGTCATGCCCTTCAAGAAGACCTGGACAAAATAAGTATATGGAGCACCACCTGGCAAATGGAATTTAATGTTAATAAATGTCATGTTATGGAATGTGGAATAGGAGAACATAGACCCCATACAACCTATATATTATGTGAGAAATCTTTAAAGAATTCTGATAAAGAAAGAGATCTAGGGGTGGTTCTAGATAGAAAACTATCACCTGAGGACCACATAAAGAATATTGTGCAAGGAGCCTATGCGATGCTTTCTAACTTCAGAATTGCATTTAAATACATGGATGGCGATATACTAAAGAAATTGTTCATGACTTTTGTTAGGCCAAAGCTAGAATATGCAGTTGTTGTGTGGTGCCCATATCTTAAGAAGCACATCAACAAACTGGAAAAGGTGCAAAGACATGCTACGAAGTGGCTCCCAGAACTGAAGGGCAAGAGCTACGAGGAGAGGTTGGAAGCATTAAACATGCCAAAACTAGAAGACAGAAGAAAAAGAGGTGATATGATCACTACGTACAAAATAGTAACAGGAATTGATAAAATCGACAGGGAAGGATTCCTGAGACCTGGCACTTCAAGAACAAGAGGTCATAGATTTAAACTAGCTAAACACAGATGCCGAAGAAATATAAGAAAATTCACCTTCGCAAATAGAGTGGTAGACGGTTGGAACAAGTTAAGTGAGAAGGTGGTGGAGGCCAAGACCGTCAGTAGTTTCAAAGCGTTATATGACAAAGAGTGCTGGGAAGACGGGACACCACGAGCGTAGCTCTCATCCTGTAACTACACTTAGGTAATTACACTTAGGTAATTACACACAGTGAGGCTACCTCGATTCTCTCCCTCCCTCATCACAATTCCTCCTCCCACAATACTACACACATATGTACCATTCTCAAGTCGATTGTCACAATCGACTTGAGAATGGTCCAGGACGGACCGAAACGTCGTCGTCCCTTCACCTTCTAGTGTGTGGTCTGATCAAACTACATACATTGAATATCATGTTGATCAAACTCATACCAATCTGCTTGGGAAACCTACATTGCCACAATGGAATATTTTTCAGGTTACTACTAAAGGCCATGAAATGCTCCTCTTAGAATTATTACAAATGTGTTGGGGTTTTCTTTGTATTTTGTACTTTCAGTATCTAATGTATGATTTCTCTCTCAGAATCTGGAGATGGATGGATAGGTAGCGAACGCGACTACACATATGATGAATTATTAGAACGTGCGTTTAATCAGCTCCGAGAAAAAAATCCGGAGATGGCCACAGGCGAGAAAAAGAAGTTTGTCATGAAACCACCTCAGGTACGTATCGTCATGTAGGACTTTTTGGTCTTGTTTTACAAAATATGCTTGCCTCATTTTGTTACCTAACTAATGAATTGTATGTATAAGCTATGCTTAAAGTAAGATATATAGCCCTGTATAATGATTGAAGTTCTTGTCTAATAATTTTATTTATCCTTCTAGGTTGTTAGGATTGGGTCTAAGAAAACGGCTTTTGCTAACTTTGCAGAAATATGTAGGCTCCTTCACAGAATGCCCAAACATGTACTACAGTTTCTCTTGGCTGAGTTGGGTACATCGGGAAGTATTGATGGTAAGTATTTGCACTATGAAATGGTAGCAGGATTGTTTTCATGGGTCAAGGTAAACGCCATTACATACTCCATAGACCTATTTATTATACCCATATTTACATTATACATGTAAAACAGACAATAATTTGTTTAATCTTATGATAACCACATTTCCCTGTGAATCAACAGGCAGCTCCTATTAATATCTCCAAGTGCCATACGTGTTAAATGATTGCTATATTGTTTTGACGTGCTATATTGAGGCTTAAATAGGGATCCAACTTGTACATACCGGGGCTCACATTAAGGCTGTTGTTACAATGTTTGATCAGAGCAGACTCGATCACGTTTCGTTCAACAAAATCCTTACTTTTAACACTTTCGCCCGGGCATGACGCAGCATTGCGTCATCCGTTTACTGTCGGTAATACCGGGGATGACGCAGCATTGCGTCATCCACTTTAAATAATCGCCAAAAATCAGGTTTTTATCCGATTTTTTTGGGACTGGTTTTAAAATGTGCGCCGATGTCTTCCCATTTTCTTTGTTGAGCCTTGTGGCCCTCAGGTGGCTTGGCACATGCCGTGGGCCCATTGTTTTCGCTTCACTGTTGTGACCAATGTCGCCTCCCCTCGCATCTCAAACGTGTGAACATTTCGGCTATTTTCCGTGGCTATATTTCTTACTGCGGCTTTAGAAACTATCTACCCTTACTCCATGATGGATAGTGATCATGAACAAGGCCCTTCCAGGAAGAAAATTGCAAAAGAAAGGCTTGAAAAGGGAGGGAATTGGGAGTGTAGCTGGAAGGCGTCTGAGCGCTCACTCGCGGCTAACGCGTGGCCCGTCTTCAACTCGTCGGCGGTTGGAGCGTGACCAGGTTTTTTATTTTATATGCTAATGTTCCTCTAGAGAATTCTATTGCGAACCCATTGAGACCAAAATGAAAGACCTAGGACAAAAATTGAGGTGACCAGAGTGAAAATAGTGAAAACATTTTATCGCGTTTGCGCGCTCCTGGGTAACTCGTTCGCACTTTCTCTGTTTGCTGCGGGTAATTAGCCGGGCTTTTGGAGTTTATATGCATTTAGTGCTGTAGAGAATTCTATTGCGAACACAATGATACCAAATTTAATCTCGTAGGACGAGAATTAAGGTGACAAAGTTGAAGAGAGTATACACTTTTCAGAATTTACGCGCGCTCCCGTGACACCCTGGGTCCCATATCGCACAGTTGAGGGGTGGCGCGTGGGGTGAGCGAAAGTGTTAACAATACATTTTGCCCCTGTGAAGTCGATAGAATGATTACATAAACTGGAATGTAAATACAATGCACTGGATTGCTGGGCTGTACGAATATTTATTTATATTTATATTTATTTATATTTTATTCGTACAGCCCAGCAATCCAGTGCATTGTATTTACATTCCAGTTTATGTAATCATTCTATCGACTTCACAGGGGCAAAATGTATTGTTAAAAGTAAGGATTTTGTTGAACGAAACGTGATCGAGTCTGCTCTGATCAAACATTGTAACAACAGCCTTAATGTGAGCCCCGGTATGTACAAGTTGGATCCCTATTTAAGCCTCAATATAGCACGTCAAAACAATATAGCAATCATTTAACACGTATGGCACTTGGAGATATTAATAGGAGCTGCCTCGTATGGGCCAATAGGCCTTCTGCAGTTACCTTCTTTCTTATAATTCACTTATTTTTGGTGGTCAGGTGATCTGCCCAGGCGGATATAAAGGTCTGATCAGCAATCTTATCTTCATTCTACTTTGCTCTGATGAAGGCGAATTAGCCGAAAACGCGCTATGCATTTTCTATTTTTCACGTGTGGTTATTCTGCATATATATATATATATGTATGTATGTATGTACTATATTAGGCCTAGGAAGGTTAGCCTAGGTTAAGTTTTCTTTGCAACATTAGTACAAAACCTTTTCCGGTTTGTCCAATTCAATAGTACTGATTTCTACTTTACTAATTGCCTTTTTACGTCAATATACAGTATGTACAGTGGTCCTCATCGCTACTATAAGTACTACCTAAACAGGAGGATGAGCTGGTATCATCTGGGTCCTTTTTTTTGTTTCAAGTTGTTTAGTCTGGGGAGGAGAGTTGGAGTCTCTCTTTACCAATTTTAGGGTTTGGATGAGTCCCCCCTATATTTGGTAATCTTCCTTCATTTTCTTTTTCTGGTCAGCTGTTTTTTGCGACAAGTTCGTGAGGTTGTAGTTTGACTGGGTTTTCAAACTTGCTTTGTATAGTGTGCAGATAGTGTGTTCCAGATGCTGTCCCACGACATACAGTGGGGTCTGTTTAACCCTCTTGTATTGTTCAAGGGTTACACAAGACATTATCTGTGTACACACACAGAAGAATAACATGAAATACAATATTTGTTTTTCTTGCTGTTGCCCAACCACTTGGGTTGGAGGGTAGAGCGACAGTCTCGCTTCATGCAGGTTGGCATTTATTCCCCGACCCTCCACAAGTGGTTGGGCACCATTCCCTTCCCCTCATCCCATCCCAAATCCTTATCCTGACCACTTCCCAGTGCTATATAGTCGCAATGACTGTGTTTTCTCCTGATAATTTCTTTCTCTTGTCATGTTAAAAAACCATGACCTGAGAATAGGGAAAAAGCTCCAACATTGCAAGTCACTTTTCAAGATTGCAGGTATTTACTGAAGGCTTCAGATACCAATTGAGAACATCATGTACCAGGTGGTGTTTCAAATGTTGCAAAAGTGCCTAGAACATTATAAGGTGTTATGCACACATTATGGCAGGACCAAAGAGCCAAAGCTCAAGCACAACCAGGTGAGTTCACTTTTACTTAAGTAAATACATTATTGTTCAGACATCTTAGGATTGGATGGGAGTTTCAAGGGTTAAACCTTTGTGTGTCATGAGACATCCTTTAGTGCTTGTATTCATAGGTTGTGTATTCACCTAGTTGTATTCACCTAGTTGTGCTTGCGGGGGTTCAGCTGTGCTCTTTCGGCCTGCTTCTCAACTGTCAATCGACTGTTTCTACTACTATTTTTTTTCCCCACTCCACACACCCCAGGAAGCAGCTCGTGACAGCTGACAACTCCCAGGTACCTATTTACTGCTAGGTAACAGGGGTATAGGGTGAAAGAAACTGCCCATCGTTTCTCGCCGGCGCCCGGCATCGAACCCAGACCACAGGATTACGTGTCCAGTGTGCTGTCCGCTCGGCCACCAGCTCCCTGTGTATAAGGTATGCCATACCCTACCTTTGTGGTAGTCTGTGTGGCTTTTTTCTGTTGGTGCTAGGGGTGGAGGCTCTTCTGCCTGTTGCAGAGACTGTGGTTATCTTGAGATGATTTCGGGGCTTTAGTGTCCCCCGCGTCCCGGTCTTCGACCAGGCCTCCACCCCCAGGACTAACACCCAGGTACCTATTTTAACAGGTACCTATGCCCCTGTTAGGTAACAGGGGCATAGGGTGAAAGAAACTCTACCCATTGTTTCTCGCCGGCGCCTGCAATCAAACCCGGGACCACAGGATCACAAGTCCAGCGTGCTGTCCGCTCAGCCGACCGGCTCCAAGGCCCCTTTAAGAGTTGCAGTGGTGGACTTCTTTGGGGTAGGCTTTGCTGTCCCATGTTCAGGAATCTGCTTAATCCCTTCCCCTAAGTCTGCCTTGGCTCTTCTTTCCTGTTCCTAGTGGATTACGTTGCCCAGGTGCTGTTGGTTGCTGCTGCGGGCTTGCAATCTTTGAGGATTAACATCTCATTTTCTCCTTGTTGAGGTAGTGGTTCTGTGACACCTGGTTCCTGGGACTAGCAGAGGCAGTACGATCATGCTCTTACCTCCTCCTAGGAATTACCTCTTACCTGCTCCTCGCCTCACTCTTGCCTTGCTTAATGCCAGTGTCTCCCTCACTCCCGCGTACATCTCCTGTGCTAGGTGAGTACAACTGGCTCACCATGGTCCGTGCTGCTTGGAACTTTGTTCCGAGTAGCTGAATCTAAAACAACAACCACGCTCCCAATTTCATGAGCTATTCATGCCCGTGCCACTTCTTGGGTGGCTTAATCCTCACCAATCTCGCTCCCATAACAAGGGGCCTGGCAGCTGAGTGGACAGCACTTTGGATTCATAGTCCTGAGGTTCCAGGTTCGATCCCTGGTGAAGGCGGAAACAAATGGGCAGAATTTCTTTCACCCTGATGCCCCTGTTAGCTAGCAGTAAATAAGTACCTGGGAGTTAGACAGCTGCTACAAGCTGTTTCCTGGGGATATGTAACAAAATGGAGACCTGGTTGAGGACCGGGCCGTGGGGATGCTAAGCCCTTGAAATCATGTCAGGATAACAACCTACTTGATAATGGTCCAGGATGGACAGAAATGTCATCGTCTCCTCATCTTGTGGTGTGTGGTTTGGTCATTTCCAGAGGGGTTGCTTGTTGAGGGTGCTTCACATGGTCGGAGGGAGCCGGTCGGCCGAGCGGACAGCACACTGGACTTGTGATCCTGTGGTCCCGGGTTCGATCCCGGGCGCCGGCGAGAAACAATGGGCAGAGTTTCTTTCACCCTATGCCCCTGTTACCTACCAGTAAATAGGTACCTACCTGGGTGTTAGTTAGCTGTCACGGGCTGCTTCCTGGGGGTGGAGGCCTGGTCGAGGACCGGGCCGCAGGGACACTAAAGCCCCGAAATCATCTCAAGATAACCTCAAGATAACACCAGCACTTTTGCAATTCTTGCCTTTGACACCACCACACAGTAGGTGGTGTCTTGAGTGTCCTCTCTCAGGCCCAGACTCGTTCTGTCGTCAGGATCGATGCTCATGATTTGGAAGAGTCTGCTGGTGTACATAAAGCTCTGGGTATCGTTCGTGAGTAGCACGGGTAGTCACTGATGGGACCCATCAGAAAGAGGGATTTCGTTCGTGAGTAGCTCGGGTAGTCACTGAAGGGACCCATCAGAAAGAGGGATTTCGTTCGTGAGTAGCTCGGGTAGTCACTGATGGGAGCCATCAGAAAGAGGGATTTCGTTCGTGAGTAGCTCGGGTAGTCACTGAAGGGACCCATCAGAAAGAGGGATTTCGTTCGTGAGTAGCACGGGTAGTCACTGATGGGACCCATCAGAAAGAGGGATTTCATTACATTCATTGGATTTTTGTTATTCAATATTGTAATATTTACAAAAAATTCTATATGTACACGAGTGATGTGGTAGAATACCACACAACTAAATATATTAATTGTACTTCATATTAAGAGTATAAAACTCAATATAAAATATTTTTCTTTAATCAGGAGTTGGGGATGTTTGTGATATTACTGTACTAACATTTTTTGTTTGTTTGTAGGCAGTAATCAGTTGATCATCAAGGGACGATTCCAGCAAAAACAAATAGAAAATGTACTTAGGAGGTAAGGAATACAGTAAGGAATACATCTGGATGCTTCAAGTGTAGCCAAATTGGCAGATGTTTTTAGTATAGTACTGAAGTTTGTATGCTCCCTTTCACTGTTTCTAAGAACAATTTAAGTGCTGTTTTGTTTTAAGGTGCAACTGACAGGTTGCATTATTATACAGTGTTTTGTATAATTATATATATTATACAGTGGAACTTCGAATAACAAATTTAATCCGTTCCTGCGCCGTGATCGTCATGTGAAACGGACGTCGTACAAAACGAATGTCCCCATCGACAATAATGGAAATCAAATTAATTCCCTCTACCACCGAGAAACATCAATATAATATTCCATGTTTTAAATAATGGTGCCGCCTACCTTACATACACTGAACAAACCTTTGACATTTTTCTTGCAATTTTTTTTTTTTTTATAGCAAAAGGTTCGTTCGGTGTTCGGCAAGTAGGCTGCTCCACGTTTCTTAAATAAAAAAATAAAATAACAGTTGAAACAATTTGAAAAATGGACAAATGCTATAAAGGTTCGTTCACTGTTTGTTAGGTAGGCTGCTCCATTATGACAGTTTTTGTGTGTTTCAAATGTGTTCCATTTTTGTATTTTTCATTTATTTCTCGACAAATATTTCTTGCTAGTTTACCCGACAAACACTGAACGAACCTTTATGGCATTTGTCTTTTTTCAAATTGTTTCAACTGTTTTTTTTTTTGTTTTTCGTTTTTTTTTATTCAAGAAACATGGAGCAGCCTACCTGTCGAGCACAGAATGAACCTTTTTGACATTTGTTCTTTCTTTAAAAAAGTTAATTTCATTTTTCTACAAAAAGTCAATGCTTTGCAACATCCCAGCATCAATTTGCATCTGTACACATAGAAAAATAATTTATTTGCATCGTCGGAGGCGTCCGAGAATGTGCGAGAAGCAGCCGCAGACCCCACCATGTGGTGTTGACGTTATTCAAACGAGCGGTCGCCAAACGAGACGAATTGTCAGCAATCGGGGCGTTCGTTACCCTAAATGGTCGCCATTTGAGGAGGTCGTCACTTGAGGTTCTATCGTTCTGCTCGATATCTTCTACGTTCTGGGTGAAAATCAGGTCTAATAGGCTCGGTGCATCTCCTCCTCTTTCCCTTGTGTCTTCCTTCACATGTTGTGTCAGGAAATTCCTGTCTATAACATCTACTAATTTTGCTCCCCACGTTTCGTCCCCTCCATGGGGATTCCTGGATTCCCAATTTATCTCTCCATGATTTAGGTCCCCCATGATCAGCAGCTTCGCTCTCATTCTGTGGGCTAGTGTTGTGCCTTCTGCAGTTCATCTATACATGCCTTGTTGTTGTCATCATACTCCTGCCTGGGTCTTCTACTGTTTGGTGGGGGATTATAGATTACCAAGATCACAATCTTCCTCCCATCTACTGTCAGAGTTCCATGTATGAAGCTTGTGTACTCATTGGTAACTCGATTTCCCAGGTCTTCAAACTTCCATTTACGCTTTATTAAGAGTGCCACTCCCCCTCCCTGTCTCTGTGTCCTCTCTTTTCGTATCACCTGGTACCCTTCAGGAAAGATTGCATCTGAGATCATGTCATTAATTTTAGTTTCCACAATTGCAACTATGTCAGGATCTGCTTCACTCACTCTTTCTTTTATCTCTTCTGCTTTATTAGATACCCCATCAGCATTGGTGTACCAAACTTTGAGATTCTTCATGGAAACTCTTGTACCAGAGTTCTCCCTTTCTCTGGGGGTCTGGGGGGATCTGGGGGATGTCTGGGGGTGACTGGGGGCAGAGGGGATCTGGGGGATCTGGGGGGTGTCTGGGGGATGACTGGGGGCGGGGAGGGTCCGGGGGATGTCCGGGGGGATCCAGGGGGTGTCTGGGGGGGTCCGGGGGGTGTCTGGGGGGTGAAAGAGTTCAGGAGGGGTGCTTGGGGATCTACTGGGGGCTGGGCTTCTAGGAAGGTAGGTAGGAGGGTCTGGGGTAGGGCCTGGGTAGGTAGGTCTGGAGTAGGAAGGGCATACTGGGTCTGAAGATTAGGGAGGGCATAGAGGGGTTGGGAGATGGCGTAAGGTTGGGAGACAGATAGAGGTTGAGAGGTTGGGAGGGGGATGGATAGAGGGGGTGGGGGGGACCTCCCACCTCCCTCGCAAGGGTGGGGGGTCACATGGAAGGAGAGGGGATGAGGAGGGGTGAGGGCAGGGCAGGCTTTGGGTGTTGAGGGGATGAGGTCTGGGTGGGTTCTTGGGGTTGAGGGGATGAGGTCTGGATGGGATTTGGGGGTTGAGGGGATGAGAGCTGGGTGGGTTTTGGGGGTTGAGGGGACGAGGGCTGGACGGGTTTTGGGGGTTGAGGTGATGAGGGGGTCCTTGGAATGTGGGATGAATTTGACTCCAGTGGGGTCAGAGGGGTCAAGGGATGTGCTGGGGAGATAAGCAGGGGCGGCTGATTTGGGAAAGGGGTGACCTGAGAAGCACGTGTGAGCTGGTTAGCATGGGGTGGATTAGCACTGGGGTGTGTAGCTGCGCTCAAATGGGAAGAGTCGTATTGTTGTTTGCTTGCTCTGTGGGCAATCTGTTCCTCCTTCGTCATGAATTTGTCAATAAATACGTTGTAGTAATTTTCGCTACCTCTGAGTAGGTGTTTGTGATGCAGTATGTAATCCACTGCCTCTTCGTTAGTGAACTGTACCAGGACAGGTCGTTTCCTGTTACAGTTGTATGGTCCAATGCGTCGGTGGACTTGCACCTCATTCCCTGCCATCTGGGCTCTCATGTCTCTCAAGATCCCCTGTAGTTCCAAATCCTCAATCTCCATCCTTTCCTGCCTCGATGGTGCCCTGGCTTCAAGTAATCCATGGATTATGATTGTCCTCTTTCTCAGTTCATGGTCATGCTGGTGGCCCTCTCCCTGGCTGACCCCCACCCCTCCTACACCCGCTACTCCACCTACTACTACTACTACCCCTTCCCCTGCCAAGCTTCCCTTATTCCTGCCAAATTCATTAGTAAGCCTAGATATTTCTCCTTGCCATTCTACCCTGCTCTTCGTGATTTCCTCTTTGTGTGTGTGTGTGTGTGTGTGTGTGTGTGTGTAATATTATATGCATTATTATAAAGTGTTTTGATATCAGTCACAAGAAAGTTAATTTGTAATAAAAACTATTTTGCTGGATTTGTACATTAGTCTGTTATGGAAATTCATTCTAGTAGAAATAGATAATTACATTAAAATTTCTCACTTTCATAAGGTGGGGAGGCATCAGCCTGGAGAAAAATGTGAACACTGTTTGAAAGACTAGACTAGACCGTACAAAATTAGTCATTCATACTATAGTGGTATAGCAGCACTGTTAAATAAGCACCACCATGCTGCTTCATTTCACTAAGAATATAATGCTTCACTTAAATTGTCATGTACATTATAAATAGATACATTCCCCTCTTAACAAACCACTTGTTCCTAGTCTTGTCCCTTATCATATCCTGCATGCCTACAGTCACTCCGTATTTCTTCAAAAATGCACCGTGTCCATCTACGTTTCCAGTCTTTTTCACTTCCTCCCACCCACAAATTCCCTCTTAAAGGGCATGACAATCATTCAAGTTTCTTATCTTCGTCAGTATCTTGGCATCATCATCAAACATGTTCATATAATTCTATATTCCTTCTAGTAGATCATTTATGTAGACAATGAACATTACTGGTGCAAGAACTGAACCCTGTGGTACTCCACTAGTAACATTTCTCCAGTCTGAGTCATTGCCTCAGATTTCTGCCCCCATTTCTCTTGTTCGAAAATATTTAATCCATATTAAAAGTCTCCCTGTTACTCCTCCAGTATGTTCCATTTTCCAAAACAACCTCCTTGTACATGTACAACTGTCAAAAGCCTCTTTTTTTTTTTTTTTTTTTTTTTTAGGTACAGATGAATGCAGTCAGTCCAACTTTCTCTTTCCTATTAAATCTGTGACACTCATAGAAACTAAGTAGATTTTTTTATACATGATCTTCTTGATTGAAAAGCATACTGTCTGTTATTATGTCATTTCTCTCCAGGTGTTCTACCCATTTGGCTTTAATTATTTGTTTCCAGCATTTTTTTTTTCTACTATGCTTGTCAGTTATACAGATATCTGATTTAGAGGGTCTTCTTTGCTACCATTTTTGTAGATTGGAACTATGTTTGCGTTTTTCCATATATCTGCTAAGGTTCCTTTGAACAGTCATCTGGAATATCAGTTAGTGGAATGTTTAGCTCAGTTGCACATTCTCTCAGTACCCAAGGTGAAACTCCATCTGGTCCAACAGCTTTATTTCTTCTTAGCCCTATGAGTAAATTTTCCACTTTGTCCTGAGACATCTCTGTGTACTCGATGGTGTTTTATGGAATTGGCATCGAGTCTGGCTCTCTGAAATCCTTATTTTGCACAATCCCATTTCGGAATTGTTTATTTACATTTGTGTGTGTTAATTACCTGATGTTACAGGACATAACAAGATGTACTTACAGGCTGAGAGCTACGCTTGTGGTGTTCTGTCTTCCCGGTAATTTTTGTCATATAATACTTTGAAATTTCTGACAGTTTTGACCACCACCACCAAATAACTTATCTGGTTCTAGCCATCTACCACTGATGGCAAAGAAAACTTTTTAAATATTTTTTTGGCAGTTTTGTTTCCTTAGGTTGAATGTGTCGTCGTCTTGTTCTTGAGTTGCTAGTTTCAGGAATTTCTCTTACCAATTTGGTTGATTCTTGTCATTATTTTGTAAGTGGTGATCATATCACCTCTTTTTCATCTATTTTCTAGCTTTGTCATATTTAACGCCTCTTGTCTCTCTCTTCATAACTCCTGTTTTTCAGTTCCTGAAGCCATTTTGAAGCATGCTGTTGCCCTCTTTTTACCTTTTCCAATTTCTTTATGTGCTTCTTGAGATTTGGGCACCATACTACTGCTGCATATTGTTGTTTTGGTCTCACGAAAGTCATGAATAGTTTCTTAAGTATTTCACCATCCGTGTAATTAAAAGAAAGTCTGAAGTTGGAAAACAATGCATATGCTCCTCTCACAATGTTCTTTATGTGTTCCGCTGGCAACAGTTTACTATCCAAAACCACCCCTAGGTCTTGTTCTTATTTAAAGTTCTGTAATTCCTTTCTACATAATTTATAAGTTGTGTGGGGTTTATTTTCTCCAATTCCAAATTCCATAACATGAAATTTATTCACATTGAAATCCATTTGCCACATGTCACTCCAAGCACTTACTTTATCTAGATCAATTTGAAGGGCATGACAATAGTCTGCATCTCCCATCTTCCTCAGTATCTTAGCATCAATCATAAACATGTTCATATAAACGTATGAATAAATTCACAAGGGCCGTGATGAGGGTTCGAACCTAAGTCCGAAAGGATCCCAGACGATCCTGTAATGAAGTAAGGGCGAAGAGGTAGAACAGCCTATTGACATAGCTCGGGTGCATGGGGGGAATTGCGTAAAACCCTGGTTTGTGTCTCGGAGAGACTGCAGGATCCGTTGGTAAATCAGGATGATTTCCCGGTTGCAATTCTTTTACCATGTCGTAGCTCAGTTGATTAAGGCAGCGTCTGGGATCCTCTCGGACGTAGGTTCGAACCCTTGTCATGGCCCTTGTGGATTTGTTCATTTGATGCATCACGATATTGTGATTTCTGTGTGTAATGTTCATATAATTCTGTATTCCTTCTAGTAGATTGTTTATGTAGACCATGAACAGTACTGGTGCAAGAACTGAACCCTGTGGTATTCTGCTAGTAACACTCCTCCAGCCAAATACATTGTCTCTGATTACTGCCCTCATCTGTCTGTCAGAAAAATTTTCATCCATGTCAGAAGTTGCTGTTGCTACTCCAGCAAGTTCCAGTTTCCAGAACAACCTCTTGTGTGGGACTCTTGTCAAAAGCCTTTTTTAGGTCCAGAAAGACAATCAACCCAATCCCTTCTTTCCTGTGGAATCTCTGTGGCTCTTATCATAAAAACAAAGTGGAATTCTTGCACTGGATCTTTCTGTTCAAAAACCATACTGTCTGTCCATTATTGTCATTACTCTCCGGGTGCTCTACCCATTTGACTTTAGCTATTTTTTTCTAGTGTTTTGACTACCCTGCTTATTATTGATACAGGTCTATAGTTTAAAGGGTCTTCACGGCTACCATTTTTATAGATTGGAACTATGGTTGCCATTTTCCATATACTGTACTGTACAGTGGAACCTCGACTTACGAATGCTCCTACTTTTTGAGTTACGACCCTGATTTCGTCGGAAAATTTGACTCGACTTGCGACTTTGTTGATACACGTATGGGTAGACGGAGTGCGTGGGTCCTGGTGACACGGACAACCCTGCTTCAGTTTACCAGACCGCCCACTTAGTGACGATCTTGCTTGAATTCTCTGTAGCGAATTTTATTGTTTTTCAGCTTTTTTCATTTCTAAATAAAAAGTAATTATTATATACCATGCCATGGGTTCCTTAATAATTAAGAAGTGGTGTGCAGTATGGGAAGAAATGCAAAGTTTTGTTGAAACGACTCGCCCAAATCAAGCTGTAGTAGACCATTGCCTTAACCTTTTCAATGACACTAATGCCTCACTACAGACAAGTGTTAAAATGTAGGGAAAAACGAGTCTGACAGCAGGGTGGACAGTGCTTCGGATTCGTAGTCTTGAGGTTCCGGGTTCGATCCCCGGTGGAGGTGGAGACAAATGAGCAAAATGTTTTTCACCCTGATGCCCCTGTTACCTAGCAGTAAGTAGGTACCTGCGAGTTAGACAGCTGCTATGGGCTGCTTCCTGGGGGGGGGGGGGGTGGGTGTAACAAAAAGGAGGCTTGGTTGAGGACCGGGCCGTGGGGACGCTAAGCCCTGAAATCATCTCAAGATAACCTCAAAGAGTCTCTATGGAAAGGTTCTTAGTGAGAAAAATGAGTAGTAAGCCACAACCCGGTCCTAGTGGTATGCAGGCAGAATGTAGGAGAGAGAGAGTACCCCCGAGAGGTCCTCAAAGCCAGATGTTATAATGGAAGGGAACTCCCCTTCCAAACACTAACACCTCTCCTCCTCCCCCTCCTCATCACTGTCTTCTATACACCAACTAGTCATGAATAAAGGTAAGCTATAACTTGCACACACTATAGTACAAAATGTGCGTGTTATGTATAAAATGTATTTTGAAGTTAATATTTTTGGGAGTGTGGAATGGATTAATTCAATTTACATTATTTCTTATGGGAAAATTCGTTTCGAGTTACAAATTTTTGAGTTACAGCCCTTCTCTGGGAAAGGATTAAATTCGTAATTGGAGGGGCCACTGTATTTGTTAAGATTCCTGTGCACAAGGATGTCTTGAAATTAGAGTGGAATTCTCGGCTCGATTGCACATCCTTGCAGCAAGAACCCAAGGTAAAACTCCAAGTCCAACTGCTTTATTTCTTCCTAACCTCCCCTTGAGTAATTTTTCCACTTTGACTTGAGATTCCTCTTATGTATTCTATGGTGTGCTCTGGAATTTGAACTGGGCGTGTGTGTGTGTGTGTGTGTCGATAGAGTGGGGGGGGGGGGAGATGGTGAGGGGAAGAGGGTACAACCTTTAGCTTACATCAAGGATCTCTTATAGGTCAAACTATGAACCTTTCCTAGGAAGCATCCCCACATCAGTTGCTCAACTCCTAGGCACCTTTTTACTGCTAGGTAAACAGCGGCATTAGATGAAAGGAAACTTGTCCAACCTGGCCAAGTCAAGCCTGGCCCGGGCCGGGCTTGGGGAGTAGAACTCCCAGAACCCCATCAAGCAGGTATCGACCATTTATGTCCCGTCCAAGGATTGAACCCAGGATCCTTGACTATGGGTAGCCACTGTAATACAAGACCCCTATTGTTCGTATTGCAAAATATGCTGGACATTGGGGACTGGGAGTGATCTGTGCTTTGATTAATTGAAATTGGGAAATATCAAATTTGTAATTGTGAAATTGCAGTAAAGTATTTTCACATGTATTTCTTCTCTTGTGAAATGCCAATGAAGTTTATTATGGAATTTTTTCAGATACATTAAAGAATATGTTACTTGCCACACGTGCCGATCTCCAGACACGATCCTGCAAAAAGATGCTCGCCTCTACTTCCTTCAGTGTGAACAGTGTAATTCCCGGTGTTCTGTTGCTCCCATTAAGTCTGGTTTCCAGGTAAGTTACATTGCCATTTTTTGTTTCACTCTTCTTCCTAAATAACTATTGAATATAATGTGGCCAATTTATATACCTTTCTTGCTTCTATACAGTATATAGTTAACATGCGACTTAATGTTAGTCGTAATGGTTGGCATTTTCTCCTGATAAATCCCTTCCGTTGATACATCTTTTTGCGTAGGCTTCTTGTATGTATGGTACTGTATGTGCCCCCCCCACTTGAAAGGAGGTTTATGCCTGTTAAAGAATTGATAGGCAGTTTAAAAAAAAAATTAGGCTAGCGTACTGTGGCAATATATGTCTGTGGTGCGTGTGTGTTGCCCTTGACTTGGAAGATGATGCTTGGCAGGGCGGACTTGTGCCTCCCTAAAGGTCAGGTGCTTCCATAGCCCATGCAAGTGAGACTCCGTTCAGTGGTGATGGTGATTATACAGTCCAGTATTACAAGAGACTGTGCTCGAGCTTCTTGCTAAAACCCATCTTGGAACTTTTTGAAGACCAGACCACAAATCGGAAGATGGAGAAGCGCAGACGATTCGGTCCGTCCTGGATCATTATGACTACTTGACAACTGTCCAGGATGGACTGAGACTGTGTCGCTTCTCCATTTTCCGATGTGTGGTTTGGTCTTTACATCTTCAGCCATGTTATTGTGACTCATTATCTTTTTGGATTTTGGTTACATAATTATCTTGTATTTTACTAGGGAGCAGATGTCTTGGAGATATGATACCTCATTCATTTGTGTGTTTGTCAGTGATGCAGTAACAGATATGTGGTGGTGTAATACTTCATTTATTTGCGTCAGTGATGCTGTAGCAGATATGTGGTGGTGTAATACTTCATTTATTTGAGTCAGTGATGCTGTAGCAGATATGTGGAGGTGTAATACTTCATTTATTTGAGTCCGTGATGCTGTAGCAGATATGTGGTGGTGTAATACTTCATTTATTTGCGTCAGTGATGCTGTAGCAGATATGTGGTGGTGTAATACTTCATTTATTTGCGTCAGTGATGCTGTAGCAGATATGTGGTGGTGTAATACTTCATTTATTTGCGTCAGTGATGCTGTAGCAGATATGTGGTGGTGTAATACTTCATTTATTTGCGTCAGTGATGCTGTAGCAGATATGTGGTGGTGTAATACTTCATTTATTTGCGTCAGTGATGCTGTAGCAGATATGTGGTGGTGTAATACTTCATTTATTTGCGTCAGTGATGCTGTAGCAGATATGTGGTGGTGTAATACTTCATTTATTTGCGTCAGTGATGCTGTAGCAGATATGTGGTGGTGTAATACTTCATTTATTTGCGTCAGTGATGCTGTAGCAGATATGTGGTGGTGTAATACTTCATTTATTTGCGTCAGTGATGCTGTAGCAGATATGTGGTGGTGTAATACTTCATTTATTTGCGTCAGTGATGCTGTAGCAGATATGTGGAGGTGTAGTACCACATTTATTTGTGTGGTTGTATCCATGATACTGTGACTTACTCAAGATACTACTAAACTATGGAATATCATTTATTTGAATTGAATTATCCTGAGGTGGTTGCAGATTAACCATCTGTGAAATATACTCATAATTTGATCTCTAAATATATATGTATTAGACTATATCTGAAAAGTTCAAGATAAGAGTCAATGTAATTATTATGTGGTTAATGTTTAATGCCCAGGGGGCCAGATTCATGAAAGAGTTACGCAAGCACTTACAAACCTGTACATCTTTTCTTAATATTTGGCGGCTTTGTTTACAAGTATTAAACAGTTAATGAGCTCCAAAGCACCAGGAGGCTGTTTATAATAATAAGAAACAAGTTGATTGGGAAGTTTTCATGCTTGTAAACTGTTAAATAAATATAACCAAAGCTGTCAAAGATTGAGGAAAGATGTACACGTTCGTAAGTACTTGCGTAACTGCTACGTGAATTTGGCCCCAGTAATCCAGAATTAATCAAACCACCACCATCACATGGAGTGAAAGTGACTGCTGTGGTGCGTTCTGAACCCTGTTATGTTGTACTATACAGGACCAGGACAGACCAAAACATCGTCACACGTTATCATTTCATAGCTGTGGAATGGTTTATTTGTTTTCAATCTCGTTACTGTAATTTATTCTCTGCGCGCATGTTGAATTCACCCGATTTTTTTTTTTTTTTTTTACAGGCTGTGGCCAACAAACAACAGAGACAAGCAATCAGAGCAAGCAAAAATTAGGTGACAGTGCATTTAGTATTAATTTTTTTCATTACATATTTTACAGTTTGACAATTTTATAGGTGTAAAGTCACATATTATCATAAGAAAAAAAAAACAACTCCAGATCTGGAAAGTATGAGAATGTAGCATGCAAATATTTGGATTAAATAAAGTCTATTCAGGTAAAGTGGTATTACTTGTATTCTCCAAATAGCTTGGTTCCACTTTTTTAATGCATTTAGAAAGGGTAGTTGGAGTTCCTCTTTGTTTTCTATTAAAGAATTCTAAAAAGATTTTATCACACGTGGTAAAAGCAGTACGCATGTTTTAAGCTGGAAGTCATTGTTAGCGCATTAAACACTTCATCCGTATATATAGGACCTACGTTTACTTATATTTATTTTCATACCATTTTTGGTTAGGGAAAGTTTGCTTATTTTGGCATTTTTTGCATAATAAGGTTTCGGTTTGTTGAGTAACAAAAGCATCCACCAGACAGTAAGTTGATGTGTTTATATTTTCAACTTTAACAATAAAATTGAGGACACGTCATTGTACAGTGCTATAATAAATTTTAGATTATCTTAAAACACTATAAAAATATGTTGACCAGACCACACACTAGAAATTGAAGGGACGACGACGTTTCGGTCCGTCCTGGACCATTCTCAATCGACTTGAGAATGGTCCAGGACGGACCGAAACGTCGTCGTCCCTTCAATTTCTAGTGTGTGGTCTGGTCAACATACTTCAGCCACGTTATTGTGACTCATCGCCTGCACTATAAAAATATCTCAAATTGAGTGTGTGTGTGTTGTGAGAGAAGCCATACTGCTGACTGGTAATGAAGAATCGTGCAGCTGGTGGTTGATAACCTTTTAATTTGATGTAAATTGAATCATTAATATCCAGCCAGGTTTGAGATGTTTATTTTCCATTTCAAAATCTCTTTTTTTTTCAGATTTGATTTTTGTAAGTACATTATAATAAATTGTACAGTATATATATAATTTTCAGTATTAATTTTCGTATTGATCGTGCAATTAGACCAGATTATAAGAGATTTTACTAGACCCATATTGTCATATTTCTACTAGATAGATGTTCTATCTTGTTGTACTCAACTCTCTTGGTTTTTTTTGGAGACCATTATCTAGAATAAACTATAAATAGTTATTGTTCACTTTTATAGCCTTCTCGTTGCATTATAAACAATGCTTATGGGCTATTGTGTGATGCTCACGTACTAGGAGAGAGAGAGAGAGAGAGAGAGAGAGAGAGAGAGAGAGAGAGAGAGTGTGTGTGTGTGTGAGAGAGTGTGTGTGTGTGAGAGAGTGAGAGAGTGTGAGAGTGTGTGAGAGTGTGTGAGAGAGAGAGTGTGAGAGTGTGTGAGAGAGAGAGAGTGTGTGAGAGAGAGAGTGTGTGAGAGAGAGAGAGAGAGAGAGTGTGAGAGAGTGTGAGAGTGAGAGAGTGAGAGTGAGAGAGTGTGAGAGTGAGAGAGAGTGTGAGAGTGAGAGAGAGTGTGAGAGTGAGAGAGAGAGAGAGTGTGAGAGAGAGTGTGAGAGAGAGAGTGTGTGAGAGAGAGAGAGAGAGTGTGAGAGAGAGAGAGAGTGTGAGAGTGAGAGAGAGTGTGAGAGAGAGAGAGAGAGAGAGAGAGTGTGTGAGAGAGAGTGTGAGAGAGAGAGTGAGTGTGAGAGTGAGAGAGTGTGTGAGAGTGAGAGAGAGTGAGAGTGAGAGTAGGGAGAGTGAAGTTATATTGATAAAGGCCATCCCACCAAACACACACCGAAACTACAACGTTGGTACAACGTTCAAACAAGTTTAAACACCTCCTAACCAGTTATAACAACCAATATAGCAAGTTGTAACAACGTTCTAATACGTCATAAACATGTTAAGCCAAGATGTAACAAGCGGAAAATAGAGACAGTTACGGTTTGTGTTTGCAGGGATTACTGCATGATTAATGCACTAGTCACATTAGATGGGAATTTTTTTCAGACTAAACAGACTAAAAAACAAAAAATACTGTAAGTATTTGCTAAATACAAAAACTTGTTTTAAAATAACTCGCCAGGAAATGTTCGAGATAGTGATGATCGGGTACAGGTAATAAATAAAGATCAGTAGAAAGAAGCTGAACATTGAATAAAATTATGGTCTCTTGAGGTATAAGCAAGCAAGCAAACTCTTGAGCGAAAATATGAAATACTGTATTGCCAGAACAACTGTGGACATTAAGATAAAACTAGATGGTTTTCTTCATGAAATGCTAGACGAACCAGGCTATGGTTGATATGTGAGCCTGCAGGCCACTCCAAGCAACAGCCTGGTGGACCAAGCTCTCACAAGTCAAGCCTGGCCTCAGGCCGGGCTTGGGGAGTAGAAGAACTCCCAGAACCCCATCAAGCAGGTTATCTTGCGATGATTTTGGGGCTCAACGTCCCTGTGGCCCGGTTTTTAACCAGACTGTTGGACATAGCTGCTTGCAGCCTGGTTGAGGTAAAAGTTTGCCTGATAAGCCCCTTGACATTTGAAAGACAAAATGGGGCTCTGATATTTAAGAGAGGCTATGTATGGACCAGCATTTCTCCCATAAATTCCCTGTAAAGTACTGGAGAAAATAATTAGGAAGAAATGTGCAGAACATCTGGAAAGAAATTTTGTAACCAAGAAACGCCATAAGTTTAAATCATGTCCGTTTAACCTCGTAATAGTTTTACGAAGGTGGACAAAACAAGCGAGTAAGAGGAAGTTTGGAGGAGAGAATATGCCTGTTAAAGAAGAGTCTGTCAGGCTATTATTTACAGAGACTGTTCATAGTCTATGTAAATAATGTGACAGGTGGTCAGCTGCTCAAATGTAAATAATCTGACAGGTGGTCAGATTATTTACATTTGAGTCAGATTACTACAACCCTGTGCACCCACGGGGGGTTTTAAATCTTAGGCTAGACCTAAAACAACCCTGGTTGTGGTGCACAGGTAAAAAGTTAATATAGTAGCAAGACTGAAGGCTTGAGAAAGAGAGGAGAGCTACCAGGGCCTAGGCAGATGCAAAGGCAGACAAAATAAAGCTAGCTTTCAAGTCTTAGCCTGGCCAGGCTTGGGGAGTAGAACAACTCCCAGAATCCCATCCAGCAGGATGGTACTGGAAGGAAAGGAAATTGAACCAAAAGTTGTGTTTATGAATGAGACTACAAAAGCAACAATCCTAGATAGTAAGTATTTAAAATGGTTTGTCTAAGAGAAGTATTCTTCAGAGGTATATGACAAGATGAAAATTTTTTTAGTTGCAAAGACAGGGAGCGAGTAGAACTTTTTAACACCTCAAAGGCCAACCACAGCAGTAACATAAATCATTCTGCACCCCCCACCCCTTCAACATACTTTCTCCCCTGTGCACAATGAAATCACATTAAAGTGATGTATCAATTAGAAAATCGGTAGGAATCGATAGGAGGATCCGAACCCACTTCTCGTTGTGCATTTACGAGAAGTGTAGGAAGTGAACTACTTAACCACAAAGGCAGAGGGCATAGAGGACAATGTGTGAAACCCCTGGTTTGAGCTCCGGTAGGGAGGTTATCTTATCTTGAGGTTATCTTGAGATGATTTCGGGGCTTTTTAGTGTCCCCGCGGCCCGGTCCTCGACCAGGCCTCCACCCCCAGGAAGCAGCCCGTGGCAGCTGACTAACACCCAGGTACCTATTTTACTGCTAGGTAACAGGGAACCTCATAACTCCTAGTGCATTCAGCTGAATCCCTGGTTGCATTACTTTGTCATGGTGTAATGGTTTCAACCCGTCCTCAGACCAAGTCCATTCCATTGAGCGGTCGACTCCAAGGACGCATTCGTCAATTTTAACATGCTCTTAATTCAGAATAGGAATTTTCTCAAATATAAATTAATATTGTTAAATATTAGCATACTGTGCATATTTAGGCATTGGTTAGGTTAGGTATTTAGGTTCTGTTGGCGATTATTTGTAGTTCGTGGGTGAAAAATTTAGTGTTGTGGTTCAAACAACAGTCATCAGCGAAGCTCTTGTTCTGGAGGTGTTCAGACGTCATCAGCTGCGAGTCGTGTGTAAATCATAAATGTGGTTTGGAGGGTCCATGATTGATTGATGATTGATTAAGATTAAGCCATCCAAAAGGTGGCACGGGCATGAATAGCCCGTAAGTGGAGGCCCTTTTGAGCCATTATCAGTATCAAGAGCTGATACTGGAGATTTGTGGAGGTGCGACTGCACCCTACGGGACGGGAGATGTCTCCCGTGAGGGTCCATGGAATGGACTTTGTTTATGAGGACGGGCCGAATGGTCTAGGGCTAATACGTATAGCTATTTTGATGTACAGCTTGCTTGGGAGTACCAAGGGAACGGGTTCGAATCCTCATCATGGCTTCTACACATTTCCTCCCCTCAAGGCCCAATTTCCAGTTTCCACCCCCTCCCCCCTCCCCATCTAACACACACACAGTTCCCTCAGCCCTCTTAACCGCTAGCGGCCAAAAACCGTGCGATTTTCGCCGCTAGCGGCCAAAAATCGGGCGATTTTTGCTGCTAACGGCCGAAAACCGCGCTATTTTCGACGCTAGCGGCCAGAAACCATGCAATTTTTGCAGCTGGCGGGCAAAAATCGCGCGAATTTCGCCGCTACATGCCAAAAAACGACCGATTTTCGCCACTAGCGGCCAAAAAAGGGGCTATTTTCGCCGCTAGCGGCCAAAAATGGGGCGATTTTCGCCGCTAGCGGCCAAAAATCGTGCAAATTTCGCCGCAAGCGGCCAAAAATCGTGCGAATTTCGCCGCTAGCGGCCAAAAATCGCGCGATTTTCGCCGCTAGCGGCCAGAAACTATGCGATTTTTGCAGCTGGCGGGCAAAAATAGCGCGATTTTCGCCGCTACCGGCCAAAACCGCGCGATTTTCACCGCTAGCGGGCAAAATCCATGCGATTTTCGCAGCTGGCGGGCAAAAATCGCGATTTTCGCCGCTACCGGCCAAAAATAGCGCGATTTTCGCCGCTAGCGGCCAAAAATCGCGCGATTTTCGCCGCTAGCGGCCAAAAACCGTGCGATTTTCGCGGCTAGCGGCCAAAAATCGGGCAATTTTTGCGGCTAACGGCCGAAAACCGCGCTATTTTCGACGCTAGCGGCCAGAAACCGTGCGATTTTTGCAGCT